TAGTATTTACAGACCCGGGTTGCGTTCAAAGGCAATCGATTGCCACGCTGTCTTGCTGGTTTTTAAATCGCCAACCGGGTTTATAAATACTATGCAGACCTATTCCTCTTACGGTAACTATTACTTGATTCAAGATTGCTCTTTTGAACTTTATTTTTTTTAATATCAGTATCATTTGTTTACAAATTGACACCCTTGTATTCTTTTCAATAGCATGATAAAGGCACAGTGGTTCTGCATTTTTAAACCGTGAAGAAATATTATAAATCATTGACTAAAATCTGACGAATATTTTCAAATCATTACCTTCAGATAATAGGACATGGCAATTATGGTCTATATCATTGTTGAACGGTGTTGATCTAATCATTCCGGATCGAATTCTTTACATAGTTTACTTGTTTAGTGTCATTGGTATTCTATAATAGACATTTGCGTGGTTTATTGAAATCAATAAATTAAACTTACCCAAAAGGCCAAATACTTAATATTAACTGAAATAACATTCTTTACATGTTTAAGTTAAATATATCCATTAACATATTAGGAATACAGAAGATATTCAGACTACTTATTAATAAAAATACAATTACAAGCAAAATGTCCCATGCTTTATGATAATGAATATGGAACACTTCAGTCAGTTAAATTGCATTATATTCCATATTATACTCATTTACTTTTGATTCTGAACATGAAATACTTAGTATCACCCTTTCTTTCAATACAAAGAATTATTATAATGTTGGTATTGTTTCTTACGTTTTTTTTTGCCACACCATCCGTATAGCTCGGTAGTAAAACTATGTACTACATGTATATTTGCTTCAAAATTCTTTTCATGCGAGTTAAAAAAACAAATATTCTTTATAAAACACCAAATAGTGAATAATAAATTAATGATTAAACGTGAAAGATATAAAAATAGCTCTGATATTAAACAGAAACATTTATTTGTTATGCCACTAATTTAAACATGGTTTCTTCACAAATGAAATAAATAGTGAGTTGTAACGTTTGTAATCCAAATAATTAGATTTTCAAGGTCATAAGTTAAAGCGCTCTGAACGATATGACTATTGTCAATTCAAAACGTTTAACAATACTGTCGTACATAAAAATATAATTTACATTTTTACATACCTCAAAAGAATGGGTACATTAAGACAATAGATTACCCCCAATTAAGTGACACAAGTGTTTAGGCTATCGTAAGATCTCATTACTGGTAAATCATTGTTTTTCACAAGCGATTTAAAAATTAAATACAGTGTGTATTTAATATTTCAAATGTTAACTTTACCGATATAGTAACTTGTGAATTAATATCAATCACAGGCATACTGTCTCCTAAAGCAGCCAATTAAATTTTAAAGCTCATTTTCAGATAAAAAAAACATGTTTTGAAGCCCAGTGATTTTTTGATAAAAGAAATATGAATCTAAAAAGATAAGTTTTTTTTATAAAGTTTTTAGTTACTTCTGAAACGTATTAAGAAATTATAACATAATTAATAACATAATTAATACTATAACATCATTACTTTTATCGTATTATCATCGTCATTTTAATAATAATATTGATAATTATCATTAACAATTTAATTCATATCATTTTAAGTTTATGATTATTGCCGCCCCCCCTTTTCGAAGGTCAAAGGTTTACATAGTCTGTTATAGGGTATATTTTGTGTCCAGTCCATAACTTTTTCATAGATCAAGAGATTTTAAAAATACAATGCACAAATAATCAGAATAATGAGACGATATGTCAGGCGCATGTTTGAAAATAATTTTACATCTAGTATGAGGTAACCAGATAATGCATCAATTTTTACTGCTGAAGCAAAAGCTATCGATTTAGCATTGTCATACATAGCACAGCATACCCACGATAAATTTGTGATATTTTCTGACTCGCTTTCTGTTTTAATATCCATTAAAAATAAAAAATCTGACAATATCATGGTAAAGAAACTTCTTTTACGATTTCATGATATACTAAAAACAAAATATGTTAAATTATATTGGATTCCAAGTCATGTAGGAATACGAGGAAATGAAAAAGTAGATGCTTTAGCTAAACAATCATTAAATTTTCAAAAAACTGACTTATTGTTACCTGCTTGTGATTTTAGACCGGCTATAAATAAACTCGTATCATCTGAATGGAAAGCAAATTGGGACAATGCCGTTTTTAATAAACTTCACGATATAAACCCATCTCTTGTTGTGTCACCATCTCTATCTCTGTCAAACCGCCGTGATCAAACAGTTCTTCTTCGATGCCGAATTGGACACACTAAAATTACCCATTCTTATCTCCTTACAAATGTAAATGCCCCTTTCTGTGTAGGTTGTAATAAAAATTTTACTGTCAAGCATTTTCTTCTTGAATGTCATGATTTTTCACAGGCCCGTAATAGATTTTATTCTGTAAATTCACTCAAAGAACTTTTTAATACAATTCCATCAAAAAACATAATTGATTATTTGAAAGAGATAACCTTGTATCCTAGGGTCTAATTGGCTCATTTCTATTGTCATTTACAAAGTTTAAAATAACATTTTAAGTCTATTATAGCATTCGGCACGATATGGCCAGTTATGTGTTGGCGTGCCGTAAAAATCCAAACAAACAAACAAAACAAAGCATAACATAGTCTGTTATAGGGTTTATTTTGTGACCGATCTATAACTTCTTCATAGTTTAAGGGATTTTGAAAATACTTGGCACAATTAGTTACAAAAATAAGACACTATGTCATGCACATCACCATCACCCCTACCTCGATGGTCAAGGTAACACTTAGAGGTCAAAGCTAACTTTACAGATTTTTAAATTTCGTGTTTCATTTTATTTCTTTAATAAACTTATTGTTGCATTTGCAGATATAGCATTGATCATAATGTTCGACTAAAAGTCCTGAGATCCATACAAATAGCACAATTTTATGCTTCATATAAAACTTTCCCGAGGCGGGGGACGTTGGAAACTCTGTTACAAATTCTTGTTTTTATTATTATTATTTTTATTATTATTTTCGTTGTTATTATTATCTATATTGTCATAATTATTATTATTATTATTAAATTAGTATCCTATATAACATTATAATTACTTTTATTATTTATTATTATTACTATTTTATTTATATCAATTTTTTATTCAAAATTCCTTTTATTATTTTCATTGTTCTTATCATTTTTTCTTATTATTATTATTTACATTATGAACATTAGGAACATTAGGAACATTATAATTATTAATATTATTTTCGTTATTATTAGTATTTATATTGTCATTAGTACATGTATAATTATTATCATTATTATTATTATTATTATCATTATTATTATTATTATTATTATTATTATTAAAATATTTTCTTAAACAACATTAGTATTACTTTTATTATTTGTTATAATAACTATTTTATTTATATCAATTTTTATTCAAAATTCCTATTATTTTCATTATTTTCATTATTCTCACCATTTTTTTCTTCTTATTATTATGTACATTATGAACATTATGAACATTATTATTATTATTATTATTTTTACTATTCTTTGAAATTACCGTGAAGTTTTACCTAAGTGACAGTACTGGAATAAGATACATAGTATATAAACCCGTGCATGAGTCAATTACTCGAATAATTTCTTATCTCGGCCGAGTATTCGACCTTGCCTTTGACGTTTAATTTTATTTTTAGACTTCAACGCATATTTCGCGCTTTAGACATGCATGAAGTGGAATATTGTGTAATCTCTTCCATATCAAAGGTTAACAAAAATATCATGGCTAAAAATATTACTGAGCAATGACCAAATGATTCCTTTATCTATAACTTATCACTCTTTTTCATCAACATTTTGTAATTCAATTGTTTACAGTGAACTATAAAATGCTGAATCTGCTTCATAAGTAAGGTAATATAATAATTTAACATGTATAATTGTTTTGGAGGTGTTAGCTACAGTTAAATAATGCATAAAAGCATAATGGAAACTGTATAGAATTTATATGAACTCGGCACGATCTTAGAAGTTGATATAAGAAACATTTTAAGCAGAAAACTTGGGGGTAATCAATCTCAATCAACAGCCTCCTGAGTAAGTTTGCAAATCCGGAATTTTCGCAAATTCAACTACCCTTTTTAATAAAGTTTCAATTTAAAAATATATATCAAACAGTAATTTGGATGGAAATAGACGTTTATATAAAGATTGCACAATAATAAAACGCTGGGCGAGCATTCAAAGTTGAGCCTCCCATTGGGTTTTTCCATTCTTCCATTGGGCGTTACGTAGCCCATGGGGGCTCCCATGGGGATAAACCCATTTTTATAAGATAGGGGATTATCTCATTCTCAAGTTATATGCCCTTTTTGTTATTCAAGTCATTTCAAGGGCAGATCACTGTTACATAAGCCTGACATACCTTGTTAATGTTTGCATTGTATCACTGGTCACAGAGGAAATATGAACTTCCATTAATTATTTGCAAATTCAGCTTAAGTTTGGACACTGAAAATCTTAAAGACATAAGCCATTAAAACACCAAAAAACCTCTCTTTGTCTTGCTGATCTCGATTGTGAACTACCTGCGTTTGAAATATATCAAGGTCAGATTACTCGAAAACGGTATCGGAGACACCAGTTCTTATTTGCATAAAATGTTTCTATCATCATATTCTAAGATTATGTAAAGTTTGAGAAAAATATTTTTGACACCATTCATGTCAAAAGGTAATCGTCAATACATTACCATAATTGTGTTGAATTTTGCATTACTTTTTACTATGTACATTTATATAATTAATAATATTTGTCAAATGAAGCTTAAATATCACCTCACATATATAAATGCGACAAATTTTTGATTTGTTTACCTTTTACCTTTTTTCCGTTTATATAATGATTATTTAAAAACTTTTAAACTATTTATAGTCAAATGTATGAAGTCAGTTGCATAGTTAATAAAGTGGCCAAGTACGTAGAAATTTGTCAACGTGTATGTAGAGATTTAAAGTCAATGACTTTTTATTCAAATATAGATATTTATAGAAATTGCATGTAACTAGAAATAAATATTTAAAAAAGTAGTCAACGCTGGCTTAAATTGGTGTTTAGTGGAAATTAGTGCGGTAATAATTACCAATAACAATTGATAGATTGTTTGACTTGGAAGAAGTTAAAGGTATCGTGATTTTATATAATATTATATAGATAAAATAAACTTAATCTGTAGGTCAATAAAATAACAGTCATCATTTTAGTGTTCAATGTTATAAATATAAAGTAGTCTATATTACAAAGAAATATTCTTTCATCAAACCACAGTATGAAATAAAACTCGCTTCAAGGATTTCAAGTAAGTAACCTTATTGCTCTTTTGAATTCGTCAATTAGAGTGTAGAAAACATATTCAAAAAACATAAATGAGATTCATATCATTAATGTTTTTTTTTTTGTAATGTAACCCAATGCTATATTGAGTATCTTCGCGGAAAAAGTTTCAAAGCAATCTGACGGAAGGAGATAAAGATAGAAAATATTGGAAACTTAGTAATATTTGCCTCTTTTTGCTGTAGAACTAAAGTTAAAGTTTGTCAAAACATGAAATTGGCAATTATGTAATAATTTGATGCATTGTTTTAAATGTATGCAAAAAAAGATGTTTTAATCTAAATATTTAATTTAATTATTTAATCAGCCCTTTTCATAAATTTTTCTTTCTGCCATACATTACAGAAGTCACATTTTTACCATAACTGTGCTGACATTATTCAACGGTTTAAGGATCTTATTTCGTTTTCTTTCCGATTTATATGATAATGAGTCGCCAGATTACAAACATAATTTGGAATTTTCACAGGTCATTAAGCAGTTTCTGATAGACAGTCATATTGTTTGATTCTTTAGAATACCAGTTGATCATTGAAAGGACTTCATAATTTGGGACTATTAACGCCTCGGTCATTTTGGTTTATGACATTGCAAATTTAGTTAACAATTCGCACATTCTTATAAGTATTTTAGCCAAAAACAGACAGAAAACAAAACTTTAGAACAATTTTATTTGACATAACATTCCAATGGACTAACCAAGTCATAAGTTTTAACAATCTACGCGTGTTTTAAAAGAACTTAAAATCCTTATACACCAGACTTTGATCTTAACAAATCAATACTTATCTCGGATATACCTTTAAAATATGAATACAATTTCGACAAATAGATCGTAAATGTTCTTATTATTATTGAAATATTTTACAAGCCATTGATCATTTTGAAACTATATGTTTTTTTTTCAATTTTAATAGTTACTTTTGTATTACTTGATTTTAAAGAATGTGTATCGGTGATACTTATATTGACTAAACGATCACACAATGATTCAAATCATTAAACAATCATCACCTTAGTGCAGTAACGATTTAACTTATATTAAATCACATTAGGAGTTAACCCGTTACTGCATATAGTTTTTTTCATTTTTGTTGTTTTCTTACATTAACTTAGTAATACGTTATTTTTGTTTCCTTTTTTGAAAAAGGTAAAACAGTTAATTACTTAATAAGTAAATAATGTAAGTGAGTTAGTTAATCTGAAATTGAAATATTTATAATTAACTAAATTAATTTTTCATTCAGTTTTACATTTGATTCAACATTTACAAAACATGTATTCAATTTGAATCAAATTGTTAATCAAAAATTATTCTGACAAAAAAAAGAGCGAAATACATTTCTCAAAATATTACAAATCTTTGTATGCAACACAGAATTTTATGGTGGCTGATTTGGAACACTTTGGCGATGTGTGGTGTTGCTGCTAGCGACAGCACGACAAAGCGCCAAATGGTGCAATGTCGCACTGTCGTCCTGTCGCTACGAAGCACACTAAATGGCGCAATGTCGTGTGGCGTGTTGTAGCGATATCACATTGTCACTCGGCTTTAGTGGCTGATTTCGTACACACAAAAGCGTTCAAGATCAGCCACCATATTTGGCTTTAATCGAAGGATTGCCAATTTGAATATATATAAGACATCGCGACAACGCACGGCGCGACAACTACGTGCGCAAGTAATACCTTCCATTTCTAAAATGGACAGAGAAGTGCTTATTCATGACTTGTTTGAAATTAAAAGCTATCGCGTGCGCACGTGGTATTTAAATATTTTCCGATGTCCCCCATCGCGTGCGCACGTGACAGATAAACTATTTCTGATGTCCTGCATCGCGTGCGCACGTGATAGATAAAATATTTCTGATGTCCCCCATCGCGTGCGCACATGATAGATAAAATATTTCTGATGTCCCCCATCGCGTGCGCACATGACAGATGAAATATTTCTGATATCCTCCATCGCGTGCGCACGTGATAGATAAAATATTTCTGATATCCCCCATCGCGTGCGCACGTGATAAATAAAGTATTTCTGATGTCCCCCATCGCATGTGCACGTGATAGATAAAATATTTCTGATGTCCCCTCTATGCCACCGTAAGTACGCACGTGATAGATAAAATATTTCTGATGTCCCCCATCGCGTGCGCACGGGATAGATAAAATATTTCTGATGTCCTCCCTATGCCACCGTAGCTAATTCATGACTTGTTTGAAATTAAAAGCTCGTGCGCACGAAATAAATTGTACGTGCGCATGTAGTAGCTACCACGTGCGCACGTAGTAGTCATAGCGTGCGCACGTGGTAGCTATCGCGTGCGCACGTGGTATTTAAATATTTTCCGATGTCCCAATCGCGTGCGCACGTGACAGATAAAATATTTTTGATGTCCTCCATCGCGTGCGCACTTGATAGATGAAATATTTCTGATGTCCCCCATCGCGTGCGCACGTGATAGATAAAATATTTCTGATGTCCCCATCGCGTGCGCACGTGATAGATAAAATATTTCTGATGTCCCCTCTATGCCACTGTATCCTAGTCACTTCACATGCATGAATTTGACAGCGATAAATCCAAAAATATTAGCGATAACACATGTGTATATGTGGAAATAAGTTCACAGGTCTGTAACGTCTATACTTAATTTTCCATACATAATTACAGGCCACTCAAAAACTATAGGATTCGGTATTGTCAAATTAAATGACACTTTAATTGTTATCATCGCATGGTTTAGAATGTTTTCTTTATTCTTTCTAACCCATAATATGCAGTACACTTTCAAGGAGGATTTGAAAACCGTATTGATATATAACTATTGTCATTGCTGTTGTTTTTTTCATTGATTCAAATAGGAAAAACTCAACTGATATATTATAACAGTTAGGTTTGGGCTTTTTTGCACCTGCTATAAATCAGTTAAGTATGTTTGTAATCGGGCATTGGTAACACACATTTCCAGTAGCAAACAAAATAGATTAATCAGATGTAAGTACTGTTTCGAATAAAGAAAAAGCCTTAGAACGGCCCTGTATTGCAGAGCAAAAATAATTTCCTAATTCCGAAGCAAGAACTCAAAACGTACTTAAAAATGACTCGAATTATCTAACTTTAAAGGTAGGCTTGTCACGGCTGAGAATTTGTCTGGTTGAAGCTTTGTTGGTTTTTCTTCTGTTCATGTATTTAGTGTAGTTTGATATATCAGACGTTACGGGCTTTGTTAAAGTTTATGATGGTCTAGTCTGACGTCTAATAGTTATTGCTCATAAACGCATAGGATCATAAAATTTAAAAAAATGTCTATTGTCTTGCCTTTCAAGCTTTAATCAAAAGTTTATCATATTGTCTTTCAATATGCTCAAAATCATTAACAACGAAATTTCAAACAATCTAGTTATCAATTTAAGTTAAAATGCAAACAACAAAATATTTTTGCCGATCCACGATACTGGTTAAAGAAAAGCGCTTTAAAGATTGATTCCAAATTTTTGAACGGAAAAATATAATCATACACGCTGACGGAGCATGGGCAAATATTTTGTTCAAAATATTTCTTTTTTGAATTTTATGAATATTGGACGCTTGCATTCAATTAATTATAAGCCAATCAAATTTCGCGCACTGTCTGACGGCCATTTTTTTATCGACTGTGTAAGGAATTTAATTAGATAGAATTATTATAACATGATTTTTCGGATGTAATAGTTTAATTATTTTGTAAAAAAGTATTTTCTCTTTACTTTGTTTCATGACTAGCTCGAAATGAATATACATGTATTTATACGCTGACTTGCGTCTTTAATTGTTTCTTGCGGAACGTGCTTTTGATTTATGAGCATTTTCGATATATAATTTATCTTGAATTTATTTTCTTAACATTTTCCAATATCAACTGTTGGTCAATTATGTATTATATCAGTCGATCGTTTGAATAACACAGTCAAATTAGCTGAAGTCATAAGTGGGCGTTGGCACCTCAATCGTATTTCATCAGAGAAATTTTTGTAACATTAGATTTACTAAAAAATGATACTTGAATAAGTGATTTGACAAGTTTTTTCTCTCGGAATTTCGCATTTAACTTAGTAATAGAACGTTAAGCGTATTTTAACGTATTGTTAAGTAATGTGTATGAATAGTTTTTCATTAAAATAGATTTAATGGCGTATACTTAAGCAAAAAATCAGTATTACATAAATTATTTAAACTTTGCACGATTTAAGCATGATATAGAAATATTTCAAGCGAAAAAAAAACCAACAAGGAGAAGAAGCGGTGCGGGCATCGACCTTGTTTAACTGTGTGCTAAATTGTCATGAATAGTGTCCATTAAAGGTGTATAACTTTAAACAAATGCAACACATGTGTCTTCCTATTCAAAAATCGAAGTTTACTGCTGAGGAAATCACCCGAATCTCTACTGTAAAACCGCTTATACCCAGCAAATGAGGCTGGACCCTTCATACCCGTAGTGTTCGTTAACAAGGTTTAACAGTATTAGCCTATCTCTTCACAGAATCAGGAACGTTCTTCCTTAAGAGCCGAAGTGTTGTAATAGCTGTCGGGGAAAATAGAACTTAATTTTTTATCAAATTAAAATTATCACCAGACTACCCATCACGTTCGAAATATACGGAGAGGGCTTTGTAGCTCCGTATATATACGGTTCTAAGACAGAGTATATGTACTATAGTGCAGTACCATTTAAGGATAAAATGAATTACATCATCATGTGAAATAAACGAGTGTTACTTTTAATAACATACGTTAAATATACTTGATATTTCTCCTTAGCCTACAAAAAGACACAATCGAGGTTTTACGCACGCGTAAAACGGCTGCGATGGAATGGGCAGCATAAAATACTACCTTTACGAATGTCAGTTTGGCTGTGTGCAGTTGTGAAAATTGAAATTAAAGGAAAATTCCATTATTTACATAGTAGTTCTCGTTTTTTCTGTGTCAGGACCGGTATGCTTTACTGCTTCCCTTTAGTAAATACCAGAAAGGGAATGCTAACCAATAATTAGTACCTTTAGATGAAGAAAACATGTTTACGTAGGGTTCAATTTTAGCCTGGTCCCACGATATTAAGTCTCGGTAAACTACTTCATTACATGAAATCGGACAGCTGTACAGTCCATTACTGATGACATAGATAAAAAACATTGTCCTTCCATTTGCAGAAAAAGTATATAAAAATGTATTGCAACAAAGCAATAATTCGGACAGGGTCCCGAAGTGTAAAGGTGATGCATGTAAATGTTTTTACGTAGTTGTATATTCATTGACAACTCGCAAAAGTAAATCGTGTCATTCCGCAGGAAAACATGCGTCTTATTTAAAATCACGTAAGACTCGGCTGTTTTCCAACCGACTTGATTTCAACAAGTTATTAGGAGTGGCCGTTTGAAAATCCTTTGATATTATGCCTGACATTTGATAATAAGTTGAAATACCTAACAGGGTTCTCTGTATTGTAATAAAATTTTGGCAGTTCATCAAATATTTCAAATAGATCATAATTCTAAATGATTAGTAAAATATTTAACAATTCATTGATCATTTTGAAATAGTAATTGAACCCACAATCCTTAAATTTGTACGGACGATAAAATATCGATTTTACTTCGATTATGTACAATGTATTATGACAACTTTGATATAACACTTATATTAATTGACGGACTTATCTAAAAGATAATTCAAAGATGAAAGTGTGATAATTAATAAATATGTTCCTACTTTCTGTCTTTTTTATTTAATAAGTTACTTTGCTTTTTATATTTACAGGAATAATTTAATATATATAAGTAAATAAATTAGCGAGTAATAAGATTAGACCAGACCTGATTTCATTCAGATGAAATTAATAAATATTCATTTCAACACAATTTTATTGTTGTTTCTTTTATCTGATTTACTAATTAAATTTGATTTGACTCTTGAATTTAAATATAATTTATTAAATGGGCTAGAAATAATATTCTAAAAGTGAATGAACGCAGTTATGACATCACAACTGTCAACGTTTATTTAATGAATAACAAAAAGAACAAAGTTCATTTTATCGTACTGAATCCGTAGCAATGAAGCTATCTTAAGACAAACGAAAGAAAAATAACAAAAGAAAATGAAAAAAAAAGAAGAAAAGAAAAAAACAACAAAAACTAGAAAACAACGACTAGACGAGTATGTTGCAAAAATGTAACGCCGTGTGTTGATGTGTTTGCGGTTTTTATTTGATAAAGTCAATACAAAAATGCCTATTAAGACATTATTAGACATTATGTTTTGTTTTAATGTTCTTTTTTCTGTACTTAGTATCGCATTACATATTGACCCACCCTCGCTCATCTATGGATGTTTCTAAATTCAAAGTTTTACCATTTGTATGTTTTGCTTACTAGGATGGTTTTTCTTTAGCATAGACTGAGGCTATCTAAATTCTAGCTCACTTTCGTGTAAAAAAGAAATTTCATTTCAAAGGAAATATTGAATTTCTAGTTACCTATGATGTAATTTAAATAAAAGGGCTCACGTTTAACGCGGAAACAAAAGTAACTGGTCAAAGTTCAAACTTTATATCTATGCAATGTAACCTCCATGAAATTGTACGTCCATGGGCATGAAATCTGACTGTGACTTTGTCATACATAATAACAGGCAACTTAAAAACTACTGGAATTGGTCACATTAAATTTAATGTAATGTTCATTCAATCCTGTTATTGTTATCGGACAAGAGTTTTTCAATGATATTCTTTGTATTTTGGAAAATGTATGCTTCTACTGTAATTTGTTAATAGCAAATGGACAGAACATAAATCAAAGTATTGAAAATATAAAGAAAAAAATATACAGGCAAACAATGTTTAAATAAAGATGTGACCACTAGTATGTATTCATCTGTAAAAATAGCAAAAAAAGGCAGATATAAAACATTATGAACGTATTATTAACGGATAATTATTTAGAATTTAAAATTCGTACCTACGGATAAAGAATTAGCTTTAGTGTATTTATTTACAAAAGTTTATTCCGACTTAGCAATAACGCAAACTATACTTAGAAATAACTCAAAATATCTAAGTAGGCTTCTTATCAAAGCGGAGTATCTTTGTTAATGATGATTCGTGTTTAGGCTTAATTTGTTCTCTTCTATGAAAACTATGAATTACAAATTATCCGTAGTGATGAAAAAGAAAGAAAAAAATTGGCCGATAATTTCAAATTGAAAAAAAATGTCTGGGAAATGCCTAACCTTATCAATTATTAATATAAAATATGAAAAGAGACACATTAAACATTTTGTAGTCCTGTTCCGAAAATAATGTATAATTAGTATTGGTAAATGCTGTTCCATTAAATTCAATTCTTTTAAAGAAAATATTTCACAGTGGTAATTATTTTACTTTATTTTAACAACACTAAGTTGCTTGGTTTTTAACATTTTACAGTTAGAACAGAAATGTCTTTAATTGTTATTAATTTCTGACCTTTTCTTTCATGTACATATATATTATATACACTTCACGAATTGAAACCATTCTAGTAAGTACATACATTCAATAAGCATAATGATTTCAAGTGTGTCATCTAACATGAAATATTGAAAATACAAAATTAGGAAACAGGTTAAACGTTCGAGTCTTCGTGTTAATTAATAAACTTGAGATAACAAAAGAACCTTATGTCTTTTTATATTTCAGATAGAAAAGCTAATAGAAGATCAGTCCTTGCCAAGTATGAAAAACATGAATCATTTCATTGTTATTGCGATATTTATTGTACAACCCATGTTGTCAATAGCTGCGAGTCCAGATCTGAATACTCAACAAGTGTTCAATAGCTCTGAGCTGCCCTCAGATGTTGAAATATTCTTCAACTACACATTTAAAATGATGGTGCAAAAGTATTCATATGGTTATTTAACAAAGTGTCATTCCAACGAGAGTATGCATTATGATTACTTTTTACAGTATTATAGTGATGTGTGTCCGAAGGAACATTACTATTGCTTGGACAAACCAAACGACAACACCATTCACATATGTGGGAAAGCTGACAAGTGCGATAAACGCAAGTAGAATCTACCTGTTAACATATATAGTTCTTTTGTATGTTATTTCTGTCCGATTTATCTTTATCTCGAAAATGTTTGAAAAACACAAGTTCTTCTGAAAAAAGTCAACATGATAATTTCTGTGTTTCACTTATTTCGCCTGTTGTAACTATAACAGCTTTTAATTTTGCTCGATGGGGATTGATGAAAATTAATTACACTGCCACGTTTAATAGGAACATACTTGGGCTAACAGTAGTAACTAGTTTAAATTTCCCAATAGTGTCTTTCTTGCTGGCCGTTTCAAGTCAGCGCCACTCTATATTCTTGCATGTAAGTACATTTTAGTGTGTGGACACTTTTAGTGTCCGTTTTTAAATTTTGTCGTCAACGGTGAGTTTTTCTTTCCCTTTGTTTTTTCAAAATTTGCCCTACACTCCCGGGCCCTCTGGACATCCTTTCCCTTAAATCCTTATCTCCGTTTATGCTTTTTAAAGTAAGTGCCTTCTTTATGATAACTTTTATTAAATCTTTAATGGATTGTTTTTGTTAGGTGTCTTGCTGGACTCCTCGCTGGAGGTCCTTTGTTGCTGGGTTTTGTTGATGATGTGTGAATTCATTGCTGTACTTCTTTATTGATCTTTGTTTTCAAATTGCACAGAAATGACCAGAAAGTCCTAATAGTTATACATAGAAATTTCACATTTTACAGAGTTTTTCAAAATTTACTTCATAATATTGTTACTTATGTTGCAATGTAAGTAACACAAGATTTAAATCACGTCTGTACTTTTTTATCACAGGAAAAAGAAACATAGTTGTGATTATCACAAACGATTTGAATCATGTTCATGTCTATAGCATTTCATGTCCGCCCGGATATGCCCAAGTGAATGAGGTCAATTGTTTTAGCCCTTGTGTCAAGGACGACTCTATTATTGTTCGGGCGACAGCAGAGACAGGCGGAAAACGAGCTGAGGCACGCTGTCACGCCGAAAAAGGTTATTGCAATGCAAATCGAAAAACGTATTTTGAGATCGGGTCAAGTGAAGACGAGTGCGTTGTTGCAGATGAAGACCTTAGAATACGTTGTGAAATGGGTGAAGTGTTAATGATAGGTATGATGTTTATTAAAACTTCATTTTGAACATCTATAGCAATAGACATGCAATGTACATGTATTTTTTCATAAGGAAAAAGGGGCCGATTGTTTAATGTCGTTGATTTCAAACCACTTGTCCCTCATCGCTGTGGGCTCAAATCCAGACAAGGACTTGGAATGTTTTCATGTAAGGAATCTATCCAGCTAGCTTACGAAATGTCGGTGGTTCTACTCAGGTACCCGTTCGTGCCTGAAATAATGCACGGAAGAGCACCTGAGGTCTTCCTCCACCAATAAAGCTGGAACGTTGCCAAATGACCTATACTGTGTCTGTGTGGCGTAAAACACAAACAAACAAAACCATAAGGAATATATGTTTATGCATAACATTGTTAATATATCAAGAGCCATGTTTACATGGCCACCTTTCGCCGAATGTGTTTGCTCATTGGAAGAATATATATGTAGTAGAGCAGAATAATTCAATTTTAAGAGGTCTTTTGGTAATGAAATAGAGAGAAATAAGAATCCCTAAAGAAAACTGATGGCTGAAGAAGTGATGACAAATTTGAAACCTATGTGAATACTGATGACTGAAAATAACAAAGGGCAATAACTTAAAAATAATGCAGGGTATGTTATCATTCTTGTGTGCTGCACTCCTCCCCAATGAGATCTATCCACTTATGAAGTTTCAAGTTGATATCTCAAAGGCTTTTATAGTTATGCTATGGACAAAAATTAAGCATGAAAAATAGCAAAGGGTAATAACTAAAAATTATGCTGGGTAGAGTAATCATTCTTGTGTGCTGCAAACCTCCTCTATGAAACCTATCCACCTATGAAGTTTCTTGTTGATATCTCATAAGCTTTTTGAGTTATGCTCTGGACAAAAATTAAGTTTGAAAAATAACAAAGGGCAATAATTATAAAAAATTATGCAGGGTAGAGTTATCATTCTTATGCACTGAAATCCTCCTCAATATGATCTATTCACCTATGAAGTTTCAAACTGATACCTCAAATACTTTTTGAGATATGCTCCGGATAAAAGGTAGGAAAAATAACAAAGGGTATTAACTCAAAAATTATAATGGAAAGAGTTTTTGTTCTTGTGCACAGCATTTCACCTCAATAAGATCTATCCACCTATGAAGTTTTATGTTGACATCTCAAAGACATTTTGAATTATGCTCTACTCACGTGAAAAATTATGCATGAAAAATAACAAAAGGCAATAACGAAAAAGTATGAAGGGTAGAGTTATCATTCTTGTGCACTGCACACCTCTCCTAAGCTAGACCTATCCACCTATGACGTTTCTTGTTGATATCTTATGAGCCTTTTGAGTAATGCTCTGGTCAAATATTACGTTAGAAAAATAACAAGGGCAATAACTGAAAAATTATGCAGGGTAGAGTTATCATTCTAGTGCACTGCACTCCTCAGTATGATCTATCCACCTATGAAGTTTCAAGTTGATATCTCAAACACTTTTTGAGATATGCTCCGGACAAAAATGTCGGAAGGAAGGACGGACGGACGGCGACTATTTCCATATCCCCTGCCGCCTTTCGGCGAGGAATAATGTCGAGTTTATTATAGTAAAAGACACCCTTGAAATAACTACTCATTTCTATAGATATGTGCACGCGACAAGTGTAGGACAATGTTTAAAAAGCAATGACAATGAAAGTTGTCTGTTAAAATGTCTTCAATAATTCTTAAATTAGTTGTATATATTCCCCCCCCCTTTTCTTAACGAATTGAAACAATTGTATAATGAAGCCGCGGATTTTCATTCTTAGACTAATAATCAAATATGATGTCAGTACTTATTTATTTAGTTTTCTGTTTCTCTGTCTCAGACTGTTCCTGCATTAAGAATTATGAATCTACAAAAGAAAATGATTCGAATGACTCACTACAGTGCAAGCCGAAAGAGGAAAATGTTGTCACGTAAGTGGAGTTATAAAACCAAGTCGCAAAAACAACTTATCCTACTGTGGAAATTTCACATAGAACACGTAACATTTTTGAATTTTCCTTACATAGTTTTGTGGTTTTAAGGATTTGTGTTTGGCAAGGTTATACACAAGTGTTTGTTCACATTCCTATCGTATTATTTGATAATATCTATTTTATTCTTTCGTGCGTGTAAACGTCTTAGTTCTTAATTATAAATTTTGCATATATGTAATCGTACAGTTGGAAAATTTATTTTTTTTCCATTAAGGTCAGATCTACTTATTTCTTTTATGTCGATCTGAAGATGACGGTATATGTTTCGCCTTCTTTATAAGTTGGATTTCCCTAGAAACTATTTTTGGCCATGCGATCAAACCGGTTTTTACATAGGTATTAGAACAAGTATCAAAATACCGTTATACGTGGATGTTAAACAAATTGTTAATTTTTGTTAGAAAAAATGTTTGAAGTATGTTTTAACAAATTACTTGAAAAAATAGTCAATTTTGAATGCGAAATATTGTTTTGCCAGATAACCTGTCGGCTATATGGACAACGCCATGTTTTTAGCCATGCAATCAAACCGGTTTTTACATAGGTATTAGAAGAAGTATCAAAAGACCGTTATACGTGGAAGTTAAACAAATCGTTGATTTTTGTTAGAAAAAATGTTTGAAGTATCTTTTAACAAATTACTTGTAAAAATAAAGTCAATTTTTAATGCGGAAGATTTTTATGCTAGATTACCTGTTGGCTATATGGACAACGCCGTGTTTGTTCTAGAAATCGTGAAAATTACGTACTAATTATTGGTTTTCCCAGGGTTAAAATTATAAACCACATCGCTTTCAAAATTATGAAAGCTCGCCGACAATTGACTGTGTAAATAGTCACCAGAAATAACTTCGTATACGGTCACGCTCAGATCTAAAAGCGGATCGTTATTTAGAGCTGATTTTAATTAGATTGGGATCATTAATTGATTAAAAACTCTCAAAGACTTGACTTCTGGTCATGTTTAATATGCTTTAGCCAGCGCTATGGTTAGTGGTGAGCGTAAGCTTGCAATTACCACTCCCGCCTTTGAACGGAGTCAATCAGACCGAGTTTACAATCTTTTCAATTCTGACAATTTGGGCGTTCTTTCCCAATTTCAGGATTACTAACCATACATTATCAGCCACGAATACTAGAATCAAAAATTATACAGAAAATACACCTACAAATGATTCTTCCGTATCAGCAAACGAGGAGAATTCTGTAGCAATTAGAATCAACTATAAAAAAACAGGTAATATAGTCATACTTGAGCTGCTTTTATTAGTTTTAAGCATGTGCAAACATGCAAAGAACTATTTTAACTGATTTGTTTTATGCATGTACAAATATACCAAGGACTATAGATGTCACTCTGATACAAAGTTTCCTCCAACCCGTGCTGGCTGCGTGCTATACCATGTGCTAGCAAGACATTTAGCAGGTGCTTCAATGTATTTGTCAGTAGAATGAGTTTTTGTCATTTTTTGTTAAAAACTTCTACATGCATTATGGGATTTCAAAGTGACCACCATAAGTAGACAATAAGTTGCATGCAAGATATTAGTCCCTTTCTAAAAGGTCAAAGTCTCAGCCGTAGATTATACGCTGGCAAATTGTCTCCTTATGGTTATCAAACATTTGTTTTGCAATCCAATCATCATGCTGAGGTTATGAACCCAAATTGCTCTAACTAAAGTATGAGCTACGAGTTATTTATATCTTTCACGCAGCACATTATCTACATATAATAATTGTGAGTATTAATTTATTTCTAACTCTTACTTTCAGAAGTTATGAATCTGATATAAACCCAAACTACATTTAAAAGATATGAAAAGTTAAAAATGAATTGTGTGTGTTCGTGTCTAATTCATAACTTCTGCAAACATAATGGAATACCCACATTAGCGATATATTGCGTGCACAATACGAGTCCATTACATGCCTCAGTTTTGACATTTCACTCGCGTTCTTTTTTTGTATAATTTATCTTGTGTGACAACTTCTAGTCTAAAGAGTGTCTTAAAAGCGTAGAGGAAACATTAATTCTTGCATATCAGACTGGCGTTTCGAAGCCGGAAATTCCATCTGGCATGGGGGTCCCAGATGAGTTGCGTGCTATACACTGGAGCGCTTAGGATGATGTAATTTCATCGTTGTGAATGAAGTTGTAATTTATAACGCTGTTGTATGAAAATAGTAACGAGTGTCATGACACACATTTCCACGGAAAATTGTTTTATTAAGGTAAAGAGTTTGAAATATAATGGAATATGGTAGAATATGCAAAAAAATAGCTGACATATGTTTGCGGCTCGGATCGGAGTATCCGTCCCTTTGGAATTCGAACTCACCCATTGAACCGCAACATATTACAGATATTACTATTCAAGATAAAAGAATAGATAACATTCAAAGTGAATCGGCTAGTCATAATATCACTCCGTTCACCACAATCCTTTCATACAAAAATGAATTGTTTTTACATTCATAAAACAAATCATTTAAGCTTATCGTGTGCTTGCAATAATGCTTTATGTTTAACATCAAGTCGAAATTATAATTAATGTGTTAGTATCTGTGTTTGCAGATCAAGTATCAAAATCATTGTCTTTTTGAATAATTACAATGAAATAAGGAAATATTGAACAGTGTTTCTTACAACTTATAATTATGTCAAAGGATAACTTCTCTGCAGTTAAAGGTATTGTCTAGATGATTAAATGAGTTAATTTTATTTCTTAAAGTGAATTGGTCTAAAATGGAAGATCTGTAATACAATAAAGAATTACATTGAAAATATTTGTATTAGACATAACAACAAACCACGAAAATTATTTTGGGTGTTGTTTGAGAGTGTGAGATACATGATAAACTACATACTTATATTATTAAAGCAGATAATAAAATGTTCTAGAACAAATATTACTATTCATTCTAAATCATTAATAACATTATCAACACTTTTATTGCAAGCAACATTTTGTAACAATATCCAAATGATACATCTCAATAGTTTTTATCGATATTTGAAAAAGATATGGAAAATGTACCAATTATAGACCTATCCACTTAAATTTCCTAGTAAGAACAATTGTTGTTATAATATTTTATAAAACATATAATACATGTTTACTGTACCAATAAGAATTCTTCGAGTAAAGCGGGGTTAAGTTACTAAGATACAACTGTACTATATATGTAGAATCTTACAAAAGTTGTCATTTCATAAAGTATTAAACGAAACAAGTCTTACTTAATCAAAGCCTTGCCTTGTAACAACTCTGCGACGACTTTTAATGATGTAAGTCTTTAATAACTGACATCAAATGTAAGATCAGTTTTACAATAATGCCATGATATCAAATCATCAAAATTGTAAACGAGATCGTTTATGGCATAGCATCATATAGGTCTCTTCGAGGATGGTACAACTTTGTATTTCAGTGTCGAAAATTCTGTCACTACTTCAATCCGCTTAACAAGGTTCTTAAAGTAATCACTTTGGTGGCACAACAATGGCTTGTTACCTTCAGTTCCTCTCAACAATGTATCTTAGTAGCACAAGTAAACAAAACAAACCAGTTCATCCACCCAGCCTTCTCAACAATGCACAAAGTAACTAGTCAACATTCACTAACATTTAAAATTTGCCTTCTCAGGATAACAATTGTTAGACAAATTACATTCAAGCATAAAAAACAAAACATAATTCTTAGAACTTTTAAACTCACCCTTGAGAGATATCTATCGAAATTATTTACTTTCTTTTAATACGCCTTATCTTCTATTATGCTTACACTGTTTGGGAGAACGTCGTCCTAGGTGAACAGGATCCAATTAGAAGACATTTCTGCTGCTACTCGACTTGTTTTTGTTTCTTTTCTTTTAAAAAGGTTAACACTCTCCTCCCTCATATCACTCAAACCTCGTTAGAGCATAACTCCTTATGGTCTTAACAACTCTGATGATATAAGAAATGTCTACTGTAATTCTCAGCTTTTCTCCCGATTCTTTCTTTCATCAACAATCAAGGCTTGAAATTCTTTAGCACCCGACATACGTAACTCACCTAGTCCCACTTAAAAATGCTTTAAATGGAGACATAGAAGAAGTGTCAACTTTCTATTTCGAATCATACACGCTAGATTAAATTCGGATTATATTGAAGACACAAAGCATTTTCTTCTAGCATGTCCACTTTACACAAGTTAAAGAAACACCAGCAACATTACGAGAAATAGTGAAAATAAACTTCTCTTTGGAAATGACTCCCTGGGAACTGACGCAAATACAATCATCTTTAAACACGTGCCGGGATATATAACACACAGGCAGAGAAACCCGCAATCCCTTCTCAAGAATGAGACCCACGAATCTATAACTGTTTTCCCTTCCTTGCATCCATTTATTCTCCATATACTAAATTTTCATAAACTACTTCTAAATAAAATGATTAATAAAGATTTCTTTTTATATCTATTGTCGGTTTCTCCTTAAAAAAGCAAAATAAAAACAGTAACCAAACATTACAAAAAACAACAAAAAAAAACACCGACACAAGCGAAAAATGACAATATCACTGTTTGACGGGCTATTTTAAATTTAACTTGTATTACGACAAGTGTTAAAGCTGATTTAGCGATATCGAATTTTAAAATCGTTTTTGTTGTAGAAGTGTCTAGATTGATTTTCGATGAAAGTTGTTTAGATTATAGTGGTGGTTCTTTTAATTTTCTGATGGGTATTGTGAAGAAATATAACTAATCTTAATAGTTCATGAAAACATATATCTGACTATGATATTGTCAACACCAGTTTGAAACAAAATAGTCATATGACAGCGTGTGTAACATAGTGTTATTCCGAGGACACACTTTCACACGGGATGAAACATCACTGTTTTCACTGTGCCACATATTGCTCATTTAGTCAAGAGAGATAATCGCTTAAAGAATTGGCTAAAAAGCTGAACATTTATTGGTCGTGACACGATATTAAATGTATGTGAGCAGCCGAGAACTCTTGCATTCATGTGTCAAAAATCAATGTTTAAAATGTTTTAACAGAGTCAAAAAACAATGTAAAAACATTTCCCTTAACATTCGATTTTAGCTTACGTTGTATGCATTAGTGATGAATAACAAATTTATATTTTCCCTTATATTGCAGATATAAATTATGCAGGCGTCACACTGTCCCGAAAGCATACGAATATGGAATTTTGAATTACGCGCGAAGATGGCCCCGATATTAGTCGACAGTCAATCAACAGCCGAAGCAAGTACGATTCCTACATAATTTTACGCGATTGTTTCCGATCCACACACGAATCATACCGAAAGTCACGCGATGGCATCCGATCCACACATGAAGTCACCTTAAAGATGCATTTTTTACTAAGAAGTTTTCCCGCAGGACATGCGATAGGTACACGATATCGTATTTTGAGTACGATGCGTTTGTTCACGAAGTCGCCATGTGACCTCCGGGTGGTATAAAATCTTCGGCAAACCGCAGCAAATTTCAGTTGCTGATAGTATTGGGTACGCAACTAAATTTTATTTTAAATTTGATGGAACTTTATTATATCACCAAAGGTGTCAGAGTTGCTCATCATGTTTTCTAAGTTATATCAATAGTAGCAATGCTGCTGCCTTCTATTTCTTTGTTGACTCATCATCAACATATGCCATTCTACAGGAAATAAAGTGAAAATAATTGTTAATTAATTACAAATAATGAAAGCTTTTGAAGTCTCTGAAGAGATGTGCAGGCTGACAGATATGAAAGATGGCATGTGACTAGCCTTTTAATATATGTTCACCATGATGCATATGCAACGCTTGAGCCACTCAAATTTGCTTTGTTCGACCACGTCGCGGTCCTATCTCGATGTCATTAATGGCGACACGACGGTATTGCGGGTGTTACACGTAGTCGTATTGCCTTCCTAAGACAATCGGGCATCTTCTTGTTTCCTTCGTATTGTCTTCTTGAGGGAAAAATGCTAGATGGCACCGAGGATCACACGAAGTAAAGACGAAGACTACACGATTTAACAAGATGGCTTCACGAAGGCCTTATGAATCCCAAAATTGGCATACAAATGCACCACGAAAATGAACCTTTGCATTGTCTTCCGGCAATTTTTTGGCATCTCGAAAATTTTGCGACCGCTCACGAAGTTGCTGCCGGAGCCTGAAAAATTTAGCCGGGGTTCATACGATGGCACAAGATGGACTCACTAATGGCCAGGTTTTATTACGATCAGATCCGGATTTGACAATTTCGTTATTTGTGTGTCCATCTGGTGCCAATTTCGGGACAGTGTGACGACTGCATAACAATACGTATTTAACGGGTTGTTTCTGTCGTAGCCCTTGTAGTCATATTAGGTATATAAGGTAAATTGCACCATTATTCTTCGTTTTAGACTCAGATTCTAAAGTTACAAAATTATTTATCATTATTCATTTTGTGTTTGCGTTACCGTATTTGGTTCTTCTATTGAAATTAGATTTGCCCGAAATTCTAATCAATCTTTGGCATCCTTTGCGTTTAAAGAAAATGTCCTAACCTTTTGACTTCCGTGTTTTGAATCTTCACATTTCAGTTAGCAATGTAGATGAACATTGAAATATGATGGTAATTTTTACGTTTGTCAGGAAAAAGAATTAATTCAATGTCTTCTAATGTTTATAGAAACGATCTTAAATTAGACTCAAAGTTGGTGTAATGACCTAGAATTAAGGATACACTAAGGACTTTCAGTCATAAGACCAAGACTGAGACAATTTTGCATTGAAATTGTGCTCTATATTATGATTTATGTATAATTTCTGAATAGCAATGCTGATAAACTTTTATACATAACGGAAAAAAAAACAATATCGGTTGGTCATTTTGTATTTCCCTATTTTTCTCAAATTAATCCATTTATTTATAGTCTAAAGTATTTGACTTAAGAATTGGAATAATTTTAAGTTAGTACTAAAGTTGGTCTTATGTCCTATAATTTAGGATATACTTAGGACTTTCTATGAAACGCAGACTAGGGGTTTTGGTTACCACAAGATTTGGTGAGACAAATATTATTTGAATACCAAGAAATAAATATATTTCATTTATAAAATATGAGTTGTGATCTTTCTTTGATTTATCAGATATTATTTTGAATCGGAAATTAAGGGTGCCACTTTGTCCATTAATTCATGTGTAATGCACGCTCTAGAATGGAAACTTAGACTTTCTATAAGCAAGCTCTTCAGTTTTCCGCATAAGAGAGTTCAAAACCTCTGGCGGGATTCCAACCAAATTCATTGACCTTAAGAATTATCACTAATAACATCATGACACTGGGAGCCATGTTTAACACTTAAATATAGCTTTATATAAAATATAGGAGCATATAAACACTCTTTTAAATTTAAATTAATCCGACATATTGGTAATAATTTAATGGTTAATAAACAATAATTTATTCTAAAGGACATTCAAGTCCATTTATAGAAAAACACCTTAGGGCTTAAATGAGTTACTAATCGTTGGAAGAATCTTGACCATGCTGCAAGTGTATTGTTTTTTTTTAAACCAGACTCTAAAAAATAATAAATAATTTAATGTTTGACCCTCTTCAAAATATATTGTTTTTTTTTACCTTTTTCAACATGATCTAATTTTGAAAATGTTATTAAGTATAGTGTCTATTCCTATTGCTCTATTTTCAATTCAACAGTTTTTGCCGTTATTGCCGTTCTAGCCATTGTACGCTATCTCAAGGTAAAGATGGGAAAGGAAGGTTAGTTATTTATCATTGGTACTGCAATTTCTTACGAACAATAGCAAATTTATACTCTATTCAGTGATGGTCGAACGTATATAGGTGCGATACTTTTTAGCGAGGTGAATGGTGCGATACGGATTTAGAAAAAAATATGTTGATAAGAACAACATGTTTATGTCTTTCTCGTACACTAAGAAATACGGAAATAGTGTAGTTATATGCGACAAGGGTAGTTAAAACTGTTCGTGTTATTTATTGTAAACATGTTGTTGCTATAACTTATCAAATATCCGTTCCATAACGTCTGTTATTGTATTCTTTTTTATACGTATGTCAGATTGCCGGTGAAGAAGCAAATACCTCAATAACTTTCTTATAACATTGGAGAAAAGCTTTGTTTGTTTTGACCATAATATACAAATATATCTTCCGCTCCGCATGTACTTTATCATTTGAACAAAAATTACTACATTCAACTAATATTTGAAACAAACTGGTTCTTACCAACATATTTTGGACATGTCACACACATTCCACAATCTTCAGTATGAAGCTATGTCTAGAGCTAAGCTATTTTTTCACATACACGCACATCAAAACTATTTAACTGAAAAGAAATTACATGTCAATTTAGTCTTCTAAATTTTACAATATCAGTGCATAGAATTAGAACTTCCTTATAAACATTTTCGAATGCGATGACCATATGCATGCGCAAAATTTACATATGATATAGTTAACTGTTCACTAAATGAAACTGTTGGTGGTAGTAAATCATAGGTTCATAGATTGTGAGTAAAACATTTGAGTAAAGAAGGATAAAAATATATGCAAATTCTACACGAAGAAAAGTTCTAGTGTCAGACATGAACAATGAAAGTGAAATATAGATTGTCAAATTTAATTTTTATTTTGCACTACGATAAACTGCATTGAATTCGAGGTAATTTTCAGTAATAAAATAGAAATGAGGAAAAATCTACAAAGTGAATAAGTAAAAAAAAATATCACGAAAATCAGAGATCAAAGGGAAGGTAGTTCTTAAAGTAAAGGTAACAGAATTATGTGAGTACTTCCAAGTGTAAGGAAGGTCAATAACTTTTTTACAGTTGTACCTAAACTTCTATGATTTCGATGAAATACATGTAGGTCAGAGTGCCAGATCATACACACAAAATTTGCAATTCTAAAAGTTAATGACTGTTACATTCTTTATAAAATATACTCACTCTGACGTGTGTTTACAGTCTAATCCGCCATTATTCCGTATCGCACCATTTACCTCGCTTAAAAATATCGCACCACTATACGTTCGACCCCCTGCTATTGGTGCTCCTTGTTTCAGTCATTTTATTCCATTCTGACTATGTCTACAAAAAACGTGCATATTTTGACATGATGTATTCTGTGAATAATGTTAAATCTGGTATAGCTTGGAAACTAGTTATTTGAAGAAAATACATGTATGTTTTGCCAGTGATGAATGCTAATATTAACACTATTCCAAAAAATCATTCATTCATTTATTCATTTATTTACATATTTATTTATTAATTTTATTAGGTTCTCCTCGACAAGACCCTGAAGCACAAGGTGATATATCTCAGCGTTTTTATAATTGTTGAATAAGTATATTTTAAAAAAATGTATGATATGTATTAATTCTCTTAAATAGCCTTGTCAAGTTTTCTATAAAACAGTTAATTTTGTTCAGTTAAAAATAATTGCATAACAAGTACCAGAATAAATATGATTATTATATAAAAGTTCGACGTTGTGGGGAGGGCTGTTTCTAATGTTGTTATAACTTGTAACGCAACCCGTTTGCACTATATATCTCTTTTTGTTTTTTTTGTATTATTCATGTAACCTGACATGTATTTGTTATAGAATAGTTTCAATTAATTTTATTTTAAACTAAAAAATTGTTTCACGCATACAATTTGTGTCGTTTGTAATTGTAAAGATAACAAGTAAATATTTGATATTGCATTTTGTACTTAAAAGGGAGGTTTTTGAATATGACGGAACTGGAAATAATTTGTCGAGATTAATACTCCAATTGATATAGGTGTCGGCTAATAACATGTGTGCAAAATTTCAGATTATTGTCTCAATTCGTTTTCCGGAAAAATTCTGAAAAAGACCTTAATCTGGCTCAAAATAGCACAAAAATAGGAGTCTCAATTTATTTCTTTTCATATTTCCTACTTATCTGTTGCAATAATTTTCTGTTTTGAGTGCCACAGCTGATCAATGTAAGAAACTTAAATTTTATGTTTTGGAGTTTCTCTACTACGTATGTTTAATTATTATACATAAAAACATGAGAAACTTGAATAAAACAACAGCAAAATAATCAGCTACCTAAAGCCTGTTTGTTGTTGTTGCTGTTTCATATTTATTTATTTATTTATTTATTTATTTTATTGCATACACGAATGTTATATTGACGTTTTATCCTAGGTATTCTAAATAGCGACAGCCCTTCAAGAAATATGAACAGAGTTCTTCCGGAGGGTACTGATCACATGAGCAACACTTATTCAACTAACGAGCAAACCCTTGATGATCCCCAGATGGAGTTATTAAAAGTAAGTTTAAAGGGATAATTTATCTCCATATTTATATCATAATCGAATATATATTTAATATCTTCATTTGTTAAATGAGCCGATTTCATTCCTCTTATGAATTAAACACGTATTACGTACTAAGTTAGTGGGAATTTGATTGGTAAAGACATTTTAAGACAGTAATAAGAGACATAAAATGATATTGATGTCTTTCGAACAGTCTTGATTGTTTAACCTTTTTATCTATAACGACACTTGTCATTCCAGATTATTTTGTTTAAATATGTAATTGATGTCTGTGTCTCAAAGTATTTACCTTTCTAAAAACATTTTATTATATGTTTTTATTCCAGTCACATGATGAACTGTCGAGGGACAGTGGAGTTCAAACGTGTGATGAAACGGCTGTTAAGTCAATATACTGACAGACAGAAAAGACCGTCTTCTGCCAAAATACAGCGTTCGCCACCAACGTTACATGCACACAAATGCCGCCGATTTGATTGGTATTGTTTCCCAAGATTCACGCAGACGTGCTTCGAAAGAATTGCCTCCCTTTTCAATAAGTTGATTCATTATTGAACATATCCTGTTTAAATTGTTTGTTTTCATTTCATGAAAGCGTTCCATCTTATAACATGTAGTAATCATCTTTTATGATAAGCAATATGTAAATAAAAAACAAAGCTTGACTTAGTAGATGAAGGCATTGCAACATATCATACATGTTAACTGGGGAAGTTCGAATCGTGTGAGGAAAAAAAAATTTTTTTGATGAATCGTTTTCCTAATCTTACAAGTATTTTGCCTACTTTTTTAGATATATATTTAACATGAAATTTGTCAGTACCGTTTATTTTAAATGGCAGTATGCTTATTTTGTGCTTCAATTGCAGCTGATTATGCTTCTATATTTCAAAAGGTTGTCTATTCTAACGGTGATTATAGGTAGTAATATTGAATGAAGTGTAATAAGACAATTTAAAGACAATTCAAAACAACATTTAAACAAGTCTGTGTTCAGAAATATTGAAATCTTTATTTGAAAAGATGGCGTGCATGTTAGACATATTAAGACTTCCATTCGGCATGTTAACACCGGATTTGCACATGATAACATGACGTTATGAAATAATAAGACAGTGTTTAGACATGTCAGCACTACGTTTTGACAAGATAAAATGAATATTTTACTTAATAAGACTACGTTAAGACTAGTTATCATACAACGTTGGCAAGCCAACACTTCTGTTATACATACATGTACTAAGACGCTTTTAGGGAAAAATAAAACGAAATGTAACAACATGAGGCAGCTATGGCGTTCCATATAAGACTGTCTCACTTTCTATTCTACCGATAAATTTTCGAGAAAAAAAAGTCTATATGGAAAATTCCTTGAGTCACATGGGTAACCGAACATCCATACTATATGTAAACTGTAAAAGTATTTAAATATATACATGTTCAATCAACATTTATACTTAAATCGGCTTAATGTCATTTAAAATATGTTTACTATTAATAACTCGTGTTTTATAGAATAATTACATGCTATTGCATTTAGATTTTGCCCAGGTTTGAAATCATAAATAAAGTTAAAGGCTTCGAAAAGCTTGTACAATGTAGGTTTGTTCAACTATGCTCGGTTGTTTTAATAGATTGTATTGTGCAGTTTTCAAAAATGAATATCAGTATAAAATATTTAACAACATGTTTATCAAATAATGTTTCATCCGGAGTGAGAATTTGAAATATGTTAGTTAGTTCATGTGCATTTAAATGCTAAATAGTTTGCGCATTCATTGAACATTATTAATATTTTTGCTTAGTTGTGTGCTGTGTGGTGCAAGAGTATTTTCACCGTGTATATCCAATAACACAGGAATGTGCAAACAACGGAGGAATTGTGCAAAAGTAACGCAGAATTGTGCAATTTAGTGCTAAAACGAGCACCGCAATAAGTAAATGGACCAATATATATTATACACCAAATTAGAAGAAATGAGTTAGCGCATACGGTTGCTGAGACATTATACTTTAAACCGCAGGAAAAATATTTCCATAACAATGTTTATTTTTCAAGACCATTAGTGAAAATGACGACCTCATTTGCGTATTGATCGTATTTTTAGTTTCCTTTATATCTTTAACTACAATAACGTACATATTACTTTATGATTTGTTTTATATTCGGTGTACCTAAGACATTTTCCAATCTACTCGTGTCATAGCAGATCAAACGTAATTGAGACCATTTTTTACGAGGTAACGCCGAATTCTTGAATGGAGTTTTGAAGCAACGGCGGTTATCTCATTTCAAGTTGCTGAATCCAATTGAAACAGCTTCCTTTTGTTGTTTTACGACATTTGTAGTTTGACAAATGTCTAAGGTATACAGAATATGAAAAAATAAAGTTTTAAATGTTTTAAAAATACATATTTATTTGAAGAAACACAAAAGTCACCTTCAAAACAGTTATCAGGTTGTCTCTCTCACGAATAATCAAAAAGTAAACATAATTATTCCTGAAAAAAAAATGTTATGCTAGTTAAAGTATAATGTCATAGCAGCCGTATGCGCTAATTCATTTCTTTTCATTAAACTAAAAATAAGATAGTTTGGTTTGTTTACTTACTGTATTCTTCATTTTGGCAATACCGTTGCACAGATTCGGCGTTACTTTTACTATAATTGCACATTCCTGCGTTACTGGATATGCTCGGTGATTTTTGTAATTGCAACTTTTATCAGTAATTTCTGTACCAAAAATATTAATAGAGTCTATCATTGGGTTAGATAGAGGATAGGGAAATCCTAACCCGAGCGTGATTGGTTCTATCGGGAACGAGCCTTGGCAAGTTCCCGATGAAACCGATTGCCCGAGGTTTGAGATTTCCCTATCCTCTATCTAAACCAATGATTGATCTCATTTTTCTCACTCACCTGGACACAATAAATATCATTGAAACTGGATCTACTTGCTGCGCCCTACTTTTGAAAAGCGGGGCGTGGCTTAGGCGCCTGACGTACATCCACAAAAAATTCTACTGACCAGGTTGATGTGTGAAAAATTCCATGAAAAAGAATTCATATGAGATACCTCATCAAATAGTATGGTTATCATGATATAATCCATCAATATTTAAGTCGGAAAGTGTCATAATATAAGTGTTTATAAGGAGTTCAGTCCATACTTGAATGGTTGCCAAAAAGCCACCGTTTGCAAAGATTTTTCTACTTATTCGGTTATTTTGGCCGAATATTCAATTAAAATATATCAAAATGAGATTGTCATCAAGAAGCATCGTTATTATAACAGAAAACATGGATGTTCTTCAGGCAAAGTGTCATAATATCCGATTTTATGAAGAATTTTGCGATATTTTAAAGTGTGCTATTTTTAGTAACAGATCGATATTGGCAAGGGCGGACCTAGCTAGAGTATGAATCATTGCAGTGTGAAAGTTAATATCAATCTATTTTGATTCCGTGGACATTTTAATAGATTAGCTCACATATTTTTAATAAATTTTGACCTTTTGACGTTTCATTTTTTTTAAATAGGAGTGAAGAAGTGCTGCATGTTGAGTGTGAGATAAGCCCATGTGAGATAAGATTTTCCAACACCGCTATTTTTAGTAACATTTACGGATTTTTCTATCTGGTTAGTGCGAAAGTTTGTTTCTTACACTTTGATGAGTTTAGATACATTATGATTATCTTCCATCATTCAAAAGTCTCTGCATATTGTTTTAAGTAATTATATTCATGTTAAGTGCATGTTCATCATGTTATTGAACACATAGTACAGCCTTTTTGTGGAAAGATAAACTGTTTGCTAGCTCTGACTGCCTGAGGCAATGATTGACAACATTCAACAGCTAGTGCCAGTTGTAACCATTATGACGGTCAGTTGCAACACAGACGCTTGCTAATAATAACAAAAGAAACATAATCTTAAGATTCCTTTCTGTTCAAATTTGAATGATGTGTTGTCCCCAAAGATCAAAATAACAATACAAGTCTAGGTTATAGTATATGATAAATCTAAATAGAACCTAAAAATACAATAGATTAATATTTTAAGCAGGCACGTATTTATTTCGCAAAAGCCCATCTATCTACCACCAACAAACGATTAATGTTACTGTCTGTATGGTTTTTATCTGTAACAGTTATCTATTTATTTTCTTTTTTTTGTGTGTTTTTCCCGACCATTTTTCTGATTCTCTTAACCGGCTTTTTAGCTCACCTGAGCACAAAGGGCTCAAGGGTGAGCTTTTGTCATCACTCTGCGTCCGTCGTGCCTCGTGCGTCCTTCAAAAAATGGCGTCAAACTTTTCAAACAACTTCTCCTCCTAAACCACATGGCCAATTGCAACCAAACTTCTCAGGAATGTTCCTTTGGTGGTCACCTTTTAAAACTGTTCAAAGAATTTAATTCCATGCAGAACTCTGGTTGCCATGGCAACCAAAAGAAAAAAACTTTAAATATCTTCTTCTAAAAAACCAAAGGAGCTAGAGCTTAGATATTTGGCATGAAACATCTTCTAGTGAGTGTGTACCAAGTTTGTTCAAATAAAAGCCCTGGGGTCAAAATTGGCCCCGCCCCAGGGGGTCATTAATTTTCCCAATATGCATATAGTAAAAAGTTAAAAAAACTACTTTTAAAGAACCCAAAAACCTAGAGCCAAGATATTTAGCATGAAACATCCTCTAATGGGTGTCTACCAAGTTTATTCAAATAAAAGCCCTGGGATCAAAATTGGCCCCGCCCCAGGGGGTCTTTGATTTTCCCTTTATGCATATAGTAAAAACTTAAAAAATCTTCTTTGAAAAAAAAACTCAAATAGCTAGAGTTTAGATATTAAGCACGAAGCATTTTCTAGTGAGTGTCAACAAAGTTTTTTCAAAAAAAAACCCTGAGGTCAAAATTATCCCCGCCCCGGGGGACATTGATTTTCCTTATATGTGTATAGCAAAAACATAAAAAATCTTCTTTGAAAAAACCCGAATAGCTAGAGTTTAGATATTAAGCATGAAACATTTTCTAGTAAGTGTCTACAAAGATTGTTCTAATAAAAGCCCTTGGGTCAAAATTGGCCCTGCCCCAGGTATGTCATTGTTTTTAACTATATGTGTAAAGAAAAAACTTGACCAGCTAGACCTTAGATGTTTAGCATGAAATATCTTCTAATGGGTGTCTATTAAGTTTGTTCAAACAAAAGCCTTGAGGTTTAAACTGGCCCCGTTCCGGGGGCCTATATACAGGTGAGCGACTTCAGGGCCATCATGGCCCGCTTGTCTGGATATCTTACGAGTTATTATTATCCATTACTCTGTAAGTGACCGATTATTTCAAAAATGTTTTACGGTATCATTTTATTGTTATACTGAATCATGCTATTTAAACTTAACCGTTGTTTTGGCAATGCGTTGTTATCAATTTTGCTATGATTTGTTGAGCTAGAAATTTAATGATGTGTTCAAATTAATGTGTTATAATAATAGATGGTAATATAGTATTATTTTTCTTCTTATTATTATTATTATTGTTGTTGTTGTTGTTGTTGTTGTTGTTGTTGTTGTTGTTACTATTATGTGATTGATATACGTATCATTCACTTATTTTTACAGATTTTTTACAGATTTTTATAGATTTAACCATTTATCTTAGCATTTGAAATCAGCCACATTTTGCATTCACATTAATGCCTTAATTTATAATTTATATACATTCATTTATTTAAAAAGAAAGCATTTAACAAATTTACTTGACCATAGTATAACGAAATCACCTTGTTCATGTAAAGCATTTAGCAATGTACCATATATCTAAAACGATTTCAGTTTGCACTGAAGAATATTAAACTGTGTGTAAAGTAACCGTTTTTTTTATACTATTCTGTTGTTGATATATTATATCATGCTGGTACCATATGTTTGTTAATTGCATTTACAAAACTGGATGTTATGGAATGATTTATTCAATTATATGATAATTTGATTTTCATAGATGTGCCAGTATTACACTTTCATCGGGGTTGGTCATGTAATTATCAAGTTAACTTAAGACAATGATAATCATTTTATCGTTTATGTAATAATTATCGCTTCTGTTAGAACACAGTGTCAAATCCATTATGTGCAATTCTGGTGTTCATTTTGTAGAGTATAATAAAACATGGTTTTAATAGAATTTACTTTGTGATGTTTTTGCATGATCGCATTCAAACATACAACTTGTATGTTGTGTGTAAAATTAATTTTAGTTACGAAAATTATTTAAATATATTGCCTGGTCATTTGAGACGATTTGTTCCTCTGCACACAGCTTAAGAATACAAACTGGTAGATATGCTAGAAATAGAATACAAAGAAATGAACGCTACTGTCAATGTTTTTCTTTACGAGACTTAGAAGATGAATTTCATTTTGTTCTTATATGCCCATGTTATACGAATATTCGTAACCTTTATATTAAAAGATATTATTTTGTTAAGCCAAGTTTATACAAATTTATTGCATTGCTGCAAAGGAATAATAGAAATGAGCTATGTAAACTAGCATTATTTTACAAAAATGCTATGACTGTTAGAACCACATTATTAAATAATATTCA